GGCAGCGGTAACCAAACCCCAAACAGAACGGATTTTTCCCCTCGACGTCCCCCTAAGGTTCCTTTTTATATTTATGTATGTGTATATGTATATAGAAAAGATGGAACACAGATTTCATTGAATAAATCTGAGATCTCCAGGTGCAGACGTTTGAATAGTCGGTGCCAGCACCCCGTGTTTTCCTTTCCTGCCGATTTTGCTTGGATCCGGCTCAAAAACCGAGAGAGTCTCGTGGTTTTGTTTACACTGAATGGGGAGGATAGGAACAGAGCCATGGGGCCGCCTTTCATTAATATACAGTGAGGATTTTGTCTAAATTACTGCTATGAATTTCACAGTACACGCTTTCAAAAGCAGTCTCAGGTGGCCTGATGAAACGTGATAGCGCCTCTGCAAACAGATCCACTTTCTTTCTTTTCAAGGAGGGTGTGTGTGCGCGTATGGGAAGCCCCCCAAAACGCTGTGCTCCTCGATAACAGAAATACAGTTCTGTTCCGAGGTCTGTCCTCCCCCCTCTCCGCGTACTTAGTTCTCGAGTAGCTCCCCAGCCTCCCCCCACCCAGCCCCACCCCATCCGCCCCCTCCCTTTGCCTAGTGTGATTGTTTTGTCTGGAAAAAAAAAATCCAAAGTATATAACAAGGGGAGAACAGTTAGTGCTGATTTTCATTTGCATACATTTTCATATATTTTGGTGAAAATAATAGACTGGTGGAGAGCTGGGTTTAGAGGAGTCAGTGTAAAGGGAAGACTAAGGATGCATCGGTTCTGGGGAGTTGAGAATATGCCTTCCCCCCCCCAGGCACCTTTAAAAAAATAATAAAACATCTTCTTTTATTTTAAAATCTAAGCCGGGAAGTTTGCTCGGTAAGTCCTTTTTCATTTTCTTTACCTGCTTTCTCCCTTTCCCCCCCTCCTTTCCGGTTTATTTATGCTCTTGTAGGTTTGGGAGCTTATTTTCATTGCTTGGGACAAGAGAGGGTTCACAGAGCAACTGTTTTGAAGGAAGGAAGGGAAAGTGTGCTGGGGGAGAGTAAAAAAACCCAACCCTGCTAAAATATTACATAAAAAGATGGACTCACTCCAAAGCTCCCCACAGTGAGGCATTTCACTTTTTTGGGGTGGGGGAGGAGAGTGCTATTAATTTTAATTGTTGATTGTGAGGTGGGGGGAAGCCCTAGAAAAATGATTATAAAGCACTCAGTATTATACATATTTCTTTTTTTTTCCTAGAGAATCATAACTAGAGGGGGAAGACACCCCCTTTCTGTAGCCAGAACTGATGTGGTGACCCGTGTGTGCTTGTCTGGGATTGCAGTGTGGGGGGGGGGATTCCTGCTGGGAGCAGGGGGGTGGGGTGGGCTTGGCAAAGGAAGGGCTGAGCGACCGCAGTGGAAGGAAGCAGGGGAGGAAGAGGAGGCAGGAAGTCAGTGCACCCCTGGTTAATGCAGAGTCTGGGGAGCAGTCTTAGTTCCTGCCTCCCAGCTCGGGAGTGAAAGTCCATCAGAAAAAAGGGTGATCAATCAAAACTAACCAGGACATCCTACACTTTATTCCCAAAGGACGTTGGAGCTTTATTATCGAAAACTAGATTTTTACTTTGTTGTCCATTTTGACAGCTGGTCTTGCCCCCCCCTCCACCCCCCACCGCCACTGTCCCTGGGTTTTGTAAAAATTGAGGGGGAAGTTACTTGCTAGGTGCAGTTAATTAGATAAATCTGGCTGGAGGAAATAGCTAGGCCAAGGCCAAGCCTGTGTGGGCACCTTACCTTCGTGAAATAGGCTGGAGAGGATTGTAAAAGCGTCTTGGTTTTGTTCTTTTTAAAGGAAGCCGCGTCTGGTGTGATGAAGGGTAGAATCGAATGGCCAGAATTTTATTGCACTTTCGCATCCGGAACACCTTGCAATTTAAAATTTGTAATTTCTTTGGAAACAGTTGATGCCAAATCAGTGAAATGGTTTGTAAGGAGGGAGGAAGAGGTTTCAGTTGGGGAGGGGGGGGGTAAGAATCGCCAGTTTTCCACTCCTTGTTTACGTGCTTGGCAGCCTTGCTTTTGACTGGGGTTAACTCTCTGTGCTCCATTGGACCAGATGCCATATAGAGCTGCTCCCTGAAGATCATTTGTTTCCTTGATGGGGAACATTTCTGAGCAGAGCATATTGGTTGCCATAGAGAAAGAAATAAAAGGAAGAACACTAGTCACATTAAGCTATATGTTTGTGCACTGGGCTTTAGATAAAAGGACCTTGGTTCAGCCAAAGAGAAGAAGCCAAACTAGAGATTTCTAGCGCCACTAAAACTAGCTTTATTTTGTTTTGGACTTTTACAGTTGAAACATATAAGCTAATTTTATTGGTTGTTGTTAATTTTATATGACACGGTTTACTGAACAAAATAAACTTTGGAAGTGCTCAGGAGTCCCACTATTGACTTGTCAGCAGGGGGCGCACTGACTCGTCTTAGCAGGTACTGAGTAAAATGTAGCTGTTTCAAAAGCAAATCTGCTCCTCCAAACTTGCCAAAGGAACAAACACCCCTACCTTTCTATTCATATTCACAATGAGGAGCGAATTCATTACACAACGCGGGGTTTTAAATATGAGGACCGTGACCTCTCCGTCTCCCACCCATCCCCGTCTGTGAAATGGCCTTGAAGGAAATACAGTTAAAAATAAAAAATAAAAAGAAAAGAAAAAAAAGAAACTGTCCATTCCTCTCAGTGATGTGTATGTAGGGCTGGAAAGCAGAAATTGGGCTGTGAAAGCAAACACATTAAAAAAAATTATCAAGGGTACAGAATAAGTTACTTAAGAAGCAACGTTTCGGGTTGTATTTTTGGGGGAAGCAGGCAAGAGAGCAAAAATGCGTTCTAAGGCATTATCTGTTAAATAATAAACGTTCTTCAACTTGATACATGCCTTGACTTCTAAGTAAAACCCAAGCTCTTGGAGATTTAGTCAAGGCTACCAGGATCTCTTTTAGTCCATTTGACACTTAATGGCTACTTCAATTCTTGGGACTTCCTACAGTTGTAGACAGATTTTTGGATTTACCCTGGAAAGCCCTGTGAGGAAAAAGAAAATATAAAATAGCCAGAGGTGAGAGGTAACTGTGGGCTTGAAACTTTTTTAGGACAATATTAACACAGTTGAAGAGAAGTTGTAACAGAGCACCAGCTTTCCGCCTCAGAGAGTTTTCGATACTGCCAATGAAGACTGGACTTTATTGTGGCAAAGGATGAAAAAGATGTGCGGAAAACTTCCTAAAATGGTGAAGGGCAAATCCTGACCGGTTCCGAGGAATTAGTTTGTCACTAACAATTTTCCCAAGGAGATTTAGAGACCATGACTAAGGAAGGGAAGCCATGAGTGACTGGAAGTGAGAAGCTGGCTTCCACGGTTCAGTGGTTCAGCACACCTGTGAATGTGTCACAGAGCCTGTTAGGAAGGGGACACGTCTCGTGAGAGCTCTAATGTCCCTCTGGAAGAGGGGAAAAGACACCGTATTCTTTCAGACTCAACTCCAAGTCAACCGGGTTTCAGCCCCGAGAAGTTTTTCCTTGAAACTAACTTGAGAGAGTCGAGGTTTGCATGTACAAGTGGCATTTAATTCCAGGAGAGCTGAGAGATTATGGGAATCATATAAGCAAAGCATACTCTGAACAACATTTCTAGTTCCACGATTTTCGACCGAGAGCTCTCACATCTAGAGTCAGGAAATGTACTGTCAGGTTTGTGCTAATAAAACAAGGTGGAAATTTGAGGAAACTGCGTAATCTGAGTCCAAACATTGCTTTTTCTTCAGCTCTCCGGACTTTTCAGACAAAAGACTTCTGGGGGAGATTCACGTGAACTGGACGATTGCCTCAAAGCTCTAGTTTACTCTGTGTGCCCAGGGTCGCTAAATGCATTTAAAAATTATTAAGGAGAAAGGAAACTTTTTCTCTTTAGCCAGAGAGTTTGGGGGGGGGGAAACACTAGTTAAGCAATAATTGTACATATTTAGAGCTTGATTTTTTTTTTTTTTTGGTGTCAGGAGATCTGTGATTGTAACTATCTTGGCTGCTACTTACTTTCCTTTCTTGCAAAGGTACTTAAAGACACACACACACACACCACACACACACACACACACCCAATGAAAGAGAATGCTTGCTCCTCATGAAATCTATAGTCTTAGGTTACCTAAAGTAAAAGAAACAGAATAATAATTCTGGGTAAAGCAACAAGTTAATTTGAAAACTGACATATAGAATCGTGTTAGGATTCTATAATGATTTGGAGGTGGAAACGATCAAACTGAGTATGAATTAAGATCCCAAGTGCTGGGCAAAGCTACAGACTTTTAATTGTTGGGGATGGTGAAATTGCTTTTGCCAAAAGAGAATGAAGAACATTACCTGGGTCAAACGTACAAAACACAAAATGGGTATTTACTCATTTGCTTCCATTTGAGAATGGTAAGGTGCTTTGATACCTTAGCGGTGTAGAAGCACATTTGCCATTACTATTTACAAATTAAAATGTTAAACATACAGCCCACACTGTGTGCCATATACAAAGGAAAGGGCTCTTCAACAGCAGCTTTTGGGTGGAAATGAGCGTTTGTCGTCTTGGCAGTGGATGAGTTATTTCTTGGTCTTGCGAAGTTTTTTTGAAGCCTGCGGATACCCCCCTACCCAGCCCAGTTCTTTGTACCACTTTGATAACTGATTTATCTGATCTGTAGGAAAGGAGCAAACACTTAGCTTTTTTTTTTTTTTAAGATGGGTTTGGAGGAGCGATTATAAATTCAGACAATACATTCTCACCCTAAATAGCAAGAAGCTTCACTTCTGATGCTCGTAGGACTGCTTTAAACTATAGGCCATTTCGGATCGTGGAATCTAAATGAAAAAGGCACGATAAGTTGGTTATCGAGAGTATGCCTTTTAAAACAACCCATTTCCAAGTGTTTGCCCACTCTAACTGCGTGTAT